AAAATATATATATATATATACTTTGTTTTTTCTGACATGATTTGGCTTGGCAAATGCCGCTCCAGGTGCCAAAGGGCTCCTTGTGGGCTATGGCCTTTCGGGTGATTTGTTGCGGCTTCGTGATCTCTGTGGACACCTAGAGCCTGACAACAGCAGCTCGGAGTGACCGGCCTTTGGCAGAGGCTCAACACAGGTTTTTACACTTTTTGCACTCCCTGAAATAAGATTTGAAGAGGAGTTCGCCACCTTTTTGGTATTTGGATGTATTTGGAAAATGGCCATCCAAAGGGGCCATGCCATCCACTTCCATGATGATTTCAGTGAGTGTAATTAGTAGATGTTGACTTGATTTTTTCATCTATGGTGCTCATAAAGAAGAAACCCTAGAGAATCTAGAGCCGCTTTTGCCTCAAGTGCCGCGCTTACCCATGCAAGGGGGCTTGCCAAAAATGACGATGCCTCTATAGATTTAACCTATGATGAAGAATGTATGGGGTCCAGGACCAACCAATGTTTCACATGTTATCGCCGAACCCCTCCAACAGGACCATCCTCAAGTGTGGATTCCTGACAGAGTGCACCTACCGCTGTCCCACCTTCATTATGTTTGTGGCATGGGGTGGTTTTCGCTTGTTTGGCCACACCCACGCCTATCCAGCTTCAGAGTCGACACTTGCATGAGAAGCAAGGCCCTGACAGCTTCACCATGCTCTGGACATATCCAAACCGTTGGCTCGGCGAAGCCAACGGTTCGCCGAATCGACGGGCATCGGCGGCCGAATCAGCGCCAGCATGTTCGGCTCGGCCTTTCGTAAGGCATCGATCTACAAGAGTCTGGTGGAGGCAGAGGGCTGCAGAGCCGCAGTAGCGAACAGAGGTTAAACAACCAAACCTGTTTTAATGCCGTACAACAATAGCCAATAGCTTTCAAGGCAGTGTCTTGCAAAGCCATCCATGCCAGTGGTTACTTAAAAGTCGCTAAAGTGCAGGTGTTGTGTGGTTTTTGTGCAGAGTTTTCAAGGGTTTGGTTGCAAAACTCAGGTTTTTGAGGTCAGTCTTCAATGTAAGGGATTGTTTGCTGCACCTTTCGTTCATGAAAGGTCCGTCACAGGCAAAGGCTCAAGCTGAGGGCGCAGAGGGCCGGAGGCGGCCGGAGGGGTGTGGGTCAAAACCTGGACCTTCAAAACAAGGCTTTTTGTAGTCTATTCTGTGTATGACTTGACGATAGCGCGCTAGCTGAGTTCTCCTTTGAGCAATGCAAGTATTGAAGCAAAAGTCCGTCAGAAGTCCTTTTTGCATTGTGTGATTTCTTTTTCTCGGACACCTGCTTCAAGACACCCTTGTGCACACGAAAACCCATAGTTTGGGTTTGAAGCTGGTGATTTGCTGCTGTTTTGCTGCTGGTGTGTACTGCTGGATTGCTGGCGTACTGTAGTTCTGCTTGTTTTCTGGAAGCATGCTCACAAGTCGCTTTGGGCAATGACTTGTAGACTTTGGCCACAGTATGTTCTGCTATCAGCTGTTAGTCTGCTCCTGTTCTGCTTCTGTTCTGCTGCTGATGTGCTGCTGGTCAGCTGCTGTTCTGCTGCTGCTGGTGCTGGTGCTGGTTTGTTAGTCAGTTAGTCGTTGTGCTGCTGGTTTGCTCCTGGCGTGCTGCTGTTCTGCTTTTGTTCTGCTGCTGGCTTGCTGCTGCTGGGCTGGTGTGCCGCAGGTGCCCCGCTTGGCGGGCTCAACTCGCAGAAGGGACACGGGAGACCCTGTTGTGAAAACTGCCTGACTTCCTGACTTAAAATGATGCAAATGCCATCCCCGAAGTCATCACTGACCCATCGTTACCCCATGAGAGAGATTGAGAGAGTCTTGTAGCGAAGGTGTCCGTCGGAGGTCAACTTTTGTTCCTAGGTGTTGCATTTGTTTGACATTTGCTTCAAGACACCAATGTGCACACATGGATTCGAAGCTGGTGATTTGTTGCTGTTTTGGCAGCTGCTTTGCTGCTGGTGTGTGCTGCTGGATTGCGGGCGTCCTGTAGTTCTGCTTGTTTTCTAGAAGCAAGTTTACAGGTTGCTTCGGGCAATGCCTTGTAAACTTTGGCCGCAGTATGCTCCGCTGCTGGTTTGCTGCCCCTGCTGTTGGTTTGCGGGTGTGCTGCTGGGGAGCTGCTGGGGAGCTGCTGCTGCTGGCCTTTATCGCTTTGACTATCTCCTTTCCCTGGCCTCTTATCGTAATTTGGGCAAGATGCTTGGCCCGGTTTTGACCCACGGCCATGGCACGAAATAGCCCTGGGAGCCAGTGGAGCCATGCCTTGGATGGAAGGTACTTGAGTTCCTCGGACGCTTGGGCGAGAAGAAACAGCCGGTGGACCGGGCAACAGCCGGTGGACGCGCAGGGCATGTGTGTGTGTCTTTTTTCGGGCAGAGAAGAGGTGGAAGCAAGAGGGTTTTCAGGTTGGTCATGATTTTGGAACAGAGTAGCAGATGCAAGTTCACAAGTATTTTCCAAACAGGATACAAGAGGTATGCATACCCCCATCTCAAACAGTTTGCCACAGACGCACCATCGTAGATATAGTGCAATATAGATAAACACTATATATTATATATACGCCTATTATATCATTGTTCAGAGTCTATACTATACACATTATGACATAATCATTATGAATATTTGCCCCAGCTTCGCTTTCACCCCCCAGCTACTGTATTCAGAGTCAAGTGTTTCTAGCTAAGTGCAGCTGCCAGTGAAGCAAATCCAAGGAAAGCCAGGGAGTGACTGCTTTTTGCACTCTGTGCTTCTCAGATCTTCGCTTTCAGAACGCAGACTCCGAAGCTGCTTTTCGTGAAAGGATGCAAGAGAGCTCATCCTGGCTGGCTTCATTCGCAAGCCTCACACATGTGGCTTTGCAGGCGGTGGTAACATCGGGTTGGTTTTTTTCTCGAAGAGATCGTACGATCACTGTGGGCGTATTGGACCTCCTATACTTGTTTGCACAGGGCATTGCCGCGATTGGGATGATCATTGTTGGCACTGGATGCATGCTGAAAGAACTCCTGGGGCGCAAGTGCTTGTTTTCTGAACCGCTTTGGGCTTGTGCCATTGGCATCAGTATCATTGCAGCTTTCCTTCAGGGACCTCTGGGTCAATCCTTGCTGGGAGCTGAGAATGCTGAGCTGACCGAGTCGCAGCCCTGTGAGGGTGATCTGGAAGTTTCGGCATACCTCCTATCAGTGTTTCTTTCCATTTATTGCTACACTCTTCCAATCAGGTGCTGTTATCTCTCCATTTTAGTCCTTTTTGCCATGCTATCTTTGGTTCTTCAAGCATTTAGCGGTGGTAGTCGCGCACCAGACGGCTTCACCATTGCGCCGCGGGTGGCAAACATACTTTTGACACTTCTCCTTTTGGCTTCGTCCTACAGTGCCGCCTATAGCGCAGAGAAGCGCGAGCGGGAGCAGGCGAGGCGACGTTCACCGCAGGAGTCATGTTGATTGTTGGTTTGTTGTTGGGGTGAGGGTGGCGCTGCTGTGGTTGTTTTGGTTGTTGGTATGAGCCAGCGGATCCCTGGTCACCTAATGTTAACATCTCATTAAACCCCCCGTATGATTTTTTCGGGGTAGTCGAAACTCTGAACTGCAATAAAAAACCTCCAGGCCATTTGGCAGAGGGGATAGTACTCTAGTACTACTAGAGGCGTTCATTTTGCTTTCATTCTGCTTTCATTTGGCAAGGATAAGCCAGCAGGGCTGGAGTGGGGTTGATTATTGCAGTTTGTTTATAACAGGAGGAGGTAGGAGTCCAAAGGGGTACCCTTTAAACAAAAATCGTGTTGTAATTGTTTGATAGGGTTTGCGCAATTAAACGTAGTATTGAAAAATTCTGGCAGGCCAAAAATGAAGGTTTTTATCGTAGTGGTTTACAATTGAGAAATGATTTTGTTGTTTATCCATTTTGGGGGTTGGATGTTGGCGCAATTAGAAGTAGTATTGCAAATTTCTGGCAGGCCAAAAAGGAGATTAGTATTGATGCATGGTTTATTACTGGGATGTTGACATTAGTGGTCAAACCATATGCAACAGCAATACCGACAGCCAGGAGAAAAAAACAGTGGGTTTACGTTTGCTTCCGTGGTAGCATTGTTCCGTGGGAGGGTAAGAAAGCTGTGAGCGTGGTCTTGCCACCCTGCGCCCATTGCTCAGGTGATTCGATGGTCGTCGAAAGAGCATTTCTTCAACAAGCCCCTGCGGCAGAAGGCCCTCTCAAGAGCTACTTTAGATCAGGACCTGAGGGTCTTCAGATTCTAAGCTGCGCACAGTCGCGACATGTTTGATGTGAGATGATGTGAGCCCGAAAGGCCTTCGCACACGAAAACAGCTAAAGTTGGCAAAATGTCATTCTTAGTTTGGAACACATTTTTGCACCATATAAGGATCCATGGGTTGCAGCTTGGCCTTTGGTTTGCTCCGCGACCTTCGCATTTCATGTGGCTCACTCCGAGCAGCGCGGAACGCCTTCCAAAGCGGGTCCAGCGCGTCCCTCGTGGGCGAGAGCTTCCTGTCGCTGGTCGTGGAGCCTCACCGGAGCCGCTTCCAAAGACTTTGTGGCTGGGCGGAGTCTTCGCTTCGGTTCGGACGAATGCAAGCATGGTTTTTGTTGGACAGCTGAGCGCATTTGAGGACATTTGCAAGATATATATAATGATATATCCCAATTTGAGAACCTATATAGTTTGTAGCACAAATAGTTCCAATATCCAACTAACATAGGTCATAGGGAAATTGTAAGGGAGGGGGATTGATTTCGGCACAGTCATCATGACCTCCAATTCATGATAGGCCCATTTTCATTTGTTGGGAGAATTGCGCTAAACTCCAGGACTGATATGATATCCTCCAAGAGCAGCGCAGCTAATCAAAGTATTGGCTTCCCAGAACAGCATAGAACGGCAACCTTTGAATACTCTCACCAAGGAGCACCCGCCTGTAACTCTTCCAATTATAAAGGACACCGGACACCCATTTCATCCTGTTTGCATCCAAAAATTGCATCCTTTGGGTTTCAATCGTTCATTCAGTTTCCACCCCCACATTTGGGTTTCCCGCTGAGGTGAAGAAGCTACTGGCTCACGGGTCCCGCGACTGTTGAGACTTCATTTGTGTTTCCCAGACGGGCCTAAGCCAGTCGAAGTGGTCGTCCTTCATCACGCCGCTGGCGGACGGGAGTTTTTGGTTGGCATCAAGCAGGGCAGGTGCATGGCAGAAGTGCCAGGAGTGCAGAGGCCAGCTGCAGGTCGCAGTTGGTGCAGACTCTAGTATCTCTAATGTGCTTTAATAGTATTCAATAGTTTAGAAGGTGAGGGGTGAACATGTAAGATTCTGAAAGCTTCAGCGTGTTGGCTTGTGGCGAATCATGTGGCGTTGCTTGGGCTGGCCAACTGTGCAGTTCGCCCACAGGTTTAGCCACACGGCCTGACAAGTCCTTAACAAGGCCTCCACATGGACACCCATCAGGGCCAATCCGCCTAAAGCGTTGGATTGCTTGATGTTTTTGGGAACTTTGGCAACTCCAGGCAAGGCGCATGTGCCGCTGTAGACGTCCCCAGTGACGGCCACCCCTTTGCGGTGGAAGATGTGCAAGATTCTCCGCTTCACGTGCCAGCAGATGCCTCGGAGAGTCTTTGCTACACCCGGTCCGACATGGAACCGGCGGATGAGCGTGCCACATGCGGGACGCAAAGCGAAGCAGCTCCTGGTGCTGAGAAATGCGTTGGGACGGCGATCGTGTGGAGAGAGGATGTTTGGGCTGTTGTTCAAATTATCTACTGCATATAACTTAGCATTCAGTAGGTGTACAGTAGTCTCGTTTTGGCTATTGAACCTGAAGCATTCGGGCTAATTTTGATTCATGATCAGAGCAGGATCCGTAGGTGGTCCGGACGCTGGACTAGACTCCTTTCGGATGCCTTTGGTCCAGGACCGCTTTCGTTGTTCGAACTGCAGCCGGCCTCCGTGGCCCCCGGATGAGCTGCTTTGGGAAGACGCGCAACGTCACACCAGACACCATGAACGGCGCCGGTCCGGTCACGAGATGCTGGAGTCCCTGACTGGGAGACTCGGACCAGATCAGTCGTTGGAAGTGAGTTTCTTGGGATTTGGAATGGATGAATATGATGAGTTGGGCTCAGTTGGGCCCTATTGGAAGTTTCAATCGAGCTAAACTTAAGCTCCAGCTGGAGTTGCCACTTTCAACCTTCGCAAGTGGTCTTCCATATCTAGAGAAGCTATCTAAAGTTGCTCTTGGAGAGAGTTTTGACGTCACCAATTTGAGGACATGGACTGTGAACCCGCAGTTTGAACACATTGCGCAGCCCTTCATCAAGCACTTGACCTTTCGGCATGGCAAGTGCATCGACGCCTTCGGGCAGAAGCGGAAGGTCACTGAAGCAGGCCAAGAGAAACCATAAACGTACCCTCCGACCCGACGAACACATCACGAAGTGGATGTTACGCTGAAGAAGTAGAGGAATATGATGGAATATGGTCCTATGATGTCCTATGGCCAAAGGCCCAAAAGGAGCCATGCCATCCACTTCCATGGTTGTTTCGGGGAGTGTTTGTCGGATTCCCAGAGCGAGCCGTCACCGCCGGCCCCTAGAGAGAACCTTGACCCTACCGAAGTGTGTAGCCCCGACCCCTTGTGTCGATGGTGGAAGGCCTGAGAGACCCCCCATATGGATGCGCTGATAAGCCGGAACACGGCCAAGCAGATAAGCCATTTGATCAAGGGAGGCGCCCAGGTCTTTTCCCATATGAATTAAAACATATGAAACTATCATACACTCATTATACACAATTAGATACACGCTAGCAGATGGAACAACAGCATTTGGGTCATCAATGGAGCAACAAAGATCTTCAGAATTCTTCCACTCTAATTTGCTGGAGTTGTGGCTTGATCCTGTGCTGTTGGAGTCGTCTTCAAGGAGTCGTTTGTCTTGAAAGACACAGCGCGCTTGATATACAGCTTGCGGACCTGTAGCTAGCTTGTGTCTGACCCTGGAAGACCTGGTCATGTTTCTGATAAAGCAGCTCCTAGAATTCTAGCGGCTTGCAAATTAGTTAGTTCTTTCACGCTGTCATATTCCAGGTGACCATGTCTTTTTGCTCAACGGGCGCATTTGGCTGCACAACGGCGTCCTTTTCCGGGAAGGCCGCTCCGGCATCGTGATGCACTTCCACCGCACCGACTGGCCTGAGGCAGACAAGGATGAGGATGGTGAGGCTATCTTCGATGAGGACGAAGATCCCAACAGTCTCGATCTCCTACAAGAGATGGTCTTCGCCCATGATGCTCCTTTGTTGTCCTGAGATGGACACCATCGAACATGGTAGAAAGTGTAATGGTGAAAGGAGACGGACACCATTCGTTGAACAAATTTGTATCCCATGCATGTAGACGCTTCACAACTTTGTCTCGCTACCATGTTGGAGAGTTGACCAAAATTGCATCTTCTACCGTGTGCCACGTGGAGCTAAAAAGCTGTGTGAGCCAGTGTGAGCCTTGATCAAGGCTTCCCGAGGCATGTTGTGTACATACTGGATCATAATGGACAGTTTATCAGGGACAAATCCGCTTCGTTGGTCGAAAGATCCAGCGATGTGGGTCGAGTGGGGTGTGGGTCGCACAAACGATAGACACCGCAACCCAGGACAATGGCAAAACATCAGTGAAGCCACGCCTTTGAGTGTTGTTTCTTTGACCTAACCGCTGCTACCACTCAGTTGTAGGATGTGACATGATCTGGCATGGTGCACATCCAGGTGATGCAACCCACACCCATGTGAGAAATGGCCTGTGCGAAAGGCTGCGGAGGCTGTTTCACCCGTCTCACACCTAACATTGCGTGAAAGATCGCGACACGAAAAGAACGAGAAGTCGAGGAGGGGTTTTGGAAAGAGGCCAGCAGCAAGGCAAGGGGCAATCGTACTCAGGATATCACCGTTTTGATCAATGACAGAGCCGGCAGAAGCGCCAAGCCTGTCTTCCGGCCACCAAGGGTGGACAAGAGACGGGTGTATTGGTCGGTGGCCAGCATTTGCAGCCGTTGCATTTTGGTTGACCGTTTTTTCCATGTGTTTTCATTGGGGTGGACTCAGGCCCATAGCCGAATTTTAAATGTAGTCTTGCATGACTATTTGTGGGCAAATTTGTCCTGGGTGGGCGAACCCGAGCTACCGACTCTTTCAGAGAGATGGACTTTGCCCCGAGATCCAAGAGCCTCACAGCTTTCGTCATTGCTTTCCATTTGACGGTCAGCCAGCCGCACTCCTCAAGGCCTGGGCCTCAGCGAAACCATCGCCCGACAGCTCCAGCGTGAGCTGCCGAAGGAACAGCAGCGCCTGGCCGACATCCGCATCGTCGGTCGGTTGGGACGGTGGATGATCGCACTGGCTCTAAGAGGGACACCGGAGTTAGCAGCTGTTGAAGAGCCGGGCAATGGTGAGGCCTTGTGTTCTGAAGTGTAGGTGTAGGTATTAATTAGGTAGGTATAGCTTCTTTGGTATGGTCGGAGTATTTCTTGGGGTCTCGAATCGGTCTGCAACGTCTCCAGACGTTTAAGGCGTCCATGCCTGGCATGGCTTGGATGGGCGTGGGCTCAGGATCGCAACTAGGAATACTGAGCCCTTCTGGTTAAAGGAACTATTAATATTGTATCATACTCTGCAGGAACGTCTCCAGTGTTCCTGGAAACGAACGAAGCTTTTGCTTGGACATGCGAAGGTCGGGGTAGACCGGTTAGGCCAATGTGATCCAAAACCTCGTGCAGCGAGCAGAGACATGAGGTGCTCCGATTGGTCCTTGCGGCCCTTGACACCGGAGCAGCGACGTCTCTGAGAAGAACAAGGGCGACGTCTCTGGTTTTGCTGAAGCCCTCAAGCCCTTCCTCTTACATGATCATGAGGTATACCTGATTTTGTTTTTGTGATAGTATCATCTCCTGAACATGTTTAACATCGTGTTTCCCAGTTGCTGAAACAAGTCCATGTGTCTCAGTCCTCAGGGTGAACAATTGGCATCGCGACTCCTTCGTGGTGAATTGACGTATTGGACCTGTGCCACAGAACTGAGAGCTACAACCTGTGACCATCAGAATTGTACTCCACATCCGGCGTGGTGAAAGCACAAGGTTGTTTCCCAGTGAAAGGGGTCTTGAAGGTGACCCCACAATTCGCTGAATTGGCCATGAAATTGGATGGTCGCAGACTATTGGCCATTGCTTTTTGATGGCCTTGGGCCTTGGATGCTCCACACAAGGCTATGCAGCCTTGGATGCGCATGCGCTGCTGCTGCTCTTGGCCGCGCAGCTGGACGAAAGGTCGATGTCCACGAAGGACTGGTGCTTTGGGCGCTTTGGAGTGGGTGGTTGGCCAGGAGCCGAAAAACACGGTTCAAGCATGTTCAGCCGAGGGTGATGGTGACAGTATTGGTGTAATTTATGGTGTTCAGTGGATATGGATTTGTCACTCCTTCTTTTGGTGGGGAGATGCGTGCGCTCAACAGAGGCTTTTAGTGTAGACTTGTTGTTTGCGTGTTTTGCGTCAGTTTTGAAGTGTTTACAGTTATAGAGCTTGGGATGGAAATGGTGTGCAATGAATGGTTGAGGGGGGTTGGATTACTTGGGGTTCACGATGGCATAAAACCACACAAAGATCTCAAGGAAGGAGGGATGTGCTCCGCGCGGTAACCGTTCCTCGCGTTGCGCATGATATAAATGTCCAGTGTCCAGGCAAAGCTGTTGGTCTACTGGGTTTCATCACGTTCTTGAGAATGCAGGCGTGTCAATAGACATGACATGTCATGTGGCTGTTGTATCGTGGTGCATTGTTGGATATTCAGTTGTTTAGTGACATTTAGGAGGGAGTTGTATATGCTCTTAGCTGTCAGAGTCCCTGTTTCATTTTCTGCCAGAAGCGGAAAGGACTTGGCGCACTGCTTTCTCGGCCATGCTGAGCAGCTGAAAGCGTTGGCGCAGCCTTGTTTTGTGCCCTTCGGCCCAGACACTTGGCAACACATGTGCAATCCCGAGCTCAAGTAGTGCGAGGCAGAGCCCGGGGCATGTTCAAGGATCAGTTTGTTTCACTTTTTATAGCTTTGCCAATTGCCAATATTTACCATACCTATATGTTTAGTAATTATATGATGATACCGATACCTATTCAATTTATGTTGCGATGATCATCGGGTTAAAAAATTGAACTATATTTGCTGCCCTGCACTAAACAGACAAAAATTCACTTCCCTGATTTTTGACATTTTTTAAATCTCCCTATGAGTTGGGGAGAAGGCTGGGATGAACCCCCCAAACATAGGGCACCCCGTGAAGTCACAGCTTTCTGTCTTTAGGACCCGTTGTGATTCTGTAGGGCATGGAACAATCATGTGCTCTTTAGTACCATCCGTACAAAATTACAGCAGCAGTGCTGCCATTGAATCTCTGTCTATATACACATTCAAGCAAGGATATGATTCTCTAGAACATTTGGAACATCAAGTCTCTGACCCCTGTTTGGACTCCCCGCGGGATGACATGTTTATTTCTTGCTGGTCACCCTGATTGGGAAGTAGGAAATATGTATTTTGAAAATGCAGCTGCACTTAAGGAAATCAGTGCAGTAATACCCCCCCTTAGGGAGGTCGGTAGCGCTACCGACGGGGCATTGTTATTGAATTGATTTAAGCATCCCTGAATTATGTTCACCTGCACTTAAAAAAATCACATGGAGGCTTACTGCAGTGGGTAGCGCTACCGACTGCACTAAGGGGAGGGCATACCAAGCCCTGTCACTACTGAGGTGATTTCCTGAAGTGCAGGTATGAAACTTGTTGAAAAGGTTAATTATTGTCAATTCTAAGTTCGAATTGGGGGAGATGTCCTCTATGAAAGGAGAGAGTAGGAGGGAGAGGGGCGTGAAGCCTGGCTGCCTGACCGATTTTTCATTTAACAACCAGAAGTGAACTTTATGGCTACAGGACCGTTTGGCTGCATGACAGATCTCCGGTTTGGCTTGCCTTACCCTTGTCCCACGGGCAGGTTAACCCAGCTTTTCTATTCGGGTTTTAATGTGTTTTGTTGATTTTATTGGATTCATCATTGAGTACTTCCGAGCTGCGGTCCCAGCAGCAATTTGTTAAAATGCAGGAATGACATTTGGACATTTTTAAGTGCGCCCCAGTTTGGGGGGTGTAATTGTATCACCCCTAAAAAGCATATTACATTTCTTCGTCTCCTGATTTCATTCCTGTGACATGATTCTATGTTTTTTTTGCTGGCGGGGGCTTAGCTGACATGTTGCATGGTGTCGGGTGAAACACTAATATGTATGGTATGATTGTTTCCAGCCTTCATGTCGATTATGTTTTTCCATATCAGCTGATGCATGAATGCTCTATAATGTTCTTATGTTTGTTGAAAGGGGTTCGCATGTGGGTGGGTGGGGGGGGTTGTCGTCAGCTACCTTTGTTCTATAGGAGCCTACCATGTAGAGGCCCACACAGGCACCCTTGAAACGTTTGACGTAGCAAGTTCCGGCTTCGTGGTGCACGCGGTTAAAGACCGAGAAACTCAACCCCATTGCTTGCCCACTACACTCGGCGATTCCAATGGCCCGATATGTGCAAAAGAATCGGAACTGACTCAAAAAGACCGGGCAGATGATGTACGCTAAGATGTCCGGAGTCAGCAAGCCTGTATATTCAACATTGCTTTCCACGGCCCAAAAGACGGATCTGTGTGCCCTTTGTTTGTTCTCCGCATCGTTCATGGCGCCAAGGGGCTAAGATGTTCGTGGTACGGATCTTTCACCCTGTCAAACAGGCGAAAAGGACGTCCTTTGCCTGGAAGATGTGTCCTAAAACTGGAAGTAACGATGTGGAGACTGGAAGTGAAGCCACCTAGGTTAATACTTTACAGTATGCCCAACGCGTGATGGCAAACCTCGAGATCCTTATATATATATATTATAAATATATATATATAATATACAGTTTGGGTTTGTCATGGTTTGTCCTATTACCTGTAACAATCAGTGAACGATTATCACTATTTTTGGACAAGGCCTCTACTAAGTAACCATCATCATCCACTGTTACAGGCAATAATAGGCAATAGGATAGACTCAATTATACAGTAATGAATAATTACATCGTATAAATAAAGGAAGCGAGAGAGGCCCCTTCAAAGCGACTCGGGCGCTACACGACTCGGGCGCTCAAGGCATCTCCGGATCGAACTTTCACCCAGGAACACGTGGACGAGGCGATCGCCCAGTTGAAGTTGCCCATCCGCGAGGCACGTTTTCAGCGTTTGAGCTGTGTGGCGGCGCAAAAGGACCCGGACCTTGGTCAAAAACAGTCATATATAGTCATAGCCGCACAGTTTGTCCCAGCTTTGGCCAAGAGGATCTTCCTGTCCAAGGGAAGAATCCCCAAGTCCAGTGGTTCAAAATGGAACCTCATCTAACAATTACAAAGGACATTTTTGAGGCTTGGTGCCATCTGAAACCACTGACGCCGGTGTCCCCCTCGCCGTCGCGCGTTTGCCGTATCACAGTGACGTAGAAACATCGAGAGTTTCTGGATGTCTACTGTTTGAGTTGGTGGAGAAATCCTTCCCGGATGCTTATGCAAAAGCAATGTGGCCTACATGTGGGTAATTTTAGGTGGCGACTGTAGGCCAGGAATTGCATTCATGTACGTCTGGAAAACGCGTCTTGAATTGGTCCAACAGACCTGATTCGTCGCGGTTTTCGGACGCATTCGCGGTTAAAGCCCCGACGACAAGCTGGCTGATGTCTATCAACGATAGAAACAATGATAGCTAATTTGTTTCCCGGCTGAGAGATGTAGAGGTCCCTTTTGTTTGATGGTTTCCAAGGCATCTCCCAAATGACGCTTGTCTAAAGCATACAAACAAGCGTACTTTTTGTTGCCCTCTTCTAGTAAAAAACTTCAGGGATGGTTCATTCTTCCAGAGGCAACTCCCGGTAGCAGCTGCGCTATCCATTGCAAGACCTTGGGCATCGTCGGTGCTCTTCCGGAAGCTTGCCAGGATTTGCGAGGTCGATTTGGTCCTTGAAACGAGAACGACAGATCTGGCCCAGAACCATGCCACAAAGTCACAAAGATTGGTGGTGCACGAGTGGAGGCAAAAACATCATGACAACCGCAGTCCGCAACAATTGGCAAGCAAAGGAACTTTCCAGTGTAGAAGATGACAGTATGCAACACAACATATTGCAGAGAGCGTGCATGTACAGGGCGTGGCACCTTTCCAGCTGTCACAACATTTGGGATTCCCAATGCCACCTTTCAGCACACGCCCAGGTTTACATGCCATAGGTTGAACATGGAAGACGCATCAAAAAAAGAGGTATCCAAATTTACTCTGATTTTTTCTACCAAAGTTACATTTCAAGAGAAACAACGGTTTTCAATTGCCTTTTAGTTGGCATACATTTGGTTCAGTAGGTGAACATCTGGTATCCAGCAAGTCTTGATCCATTTGCTATGCATCACCCTGCGCCAAGGGACACTTTGGGCAGACGCAGCGTGCAGTGGTGGTACTGGGTGCCCAGCGCCAATCGGGGATGTGGCTGGAGGTCCATGAGGGATCCAGAACATAACAAACCCATTGGGTCAACTCCCGAAGTGGACGGCGCAAGTGATCAGCCATGACAATTATATAGCTTGCAGACTGCTGTGTCCATAGAACTGTCGAAATTCCACAGGCTCATACAAGAGCAACGGGGGGACCCTCTTTTGGACCCTTCTGTTGGGAGGCTCCAAAAGCACCAGCTGCGCGAGCTACGTTGGGAGCCTCCTGTCTCCCCATGTTGTGGATGGTGTCAGGATCTTCTCCGGGTTTCCGGGAATCGATTTGAGCCTCAAAACCACTCGTCCAAGCCTCGAATTGGTCACCTTCAGATTTCCTGGAGCTACACACGGGTGTGCGACACCGGGAGCCACCGGGAGCCGATTCAGTCCCCCGAAACCACCGCGGTGGAGAAACTTCCAATAGGAAAACTGGGAGTTCCAAAGCAATGAAGACATATAGAGGTGAGATGAGGTAGAAACAACAATAGATATACCTATGGGACCCCCGTGTGAATTGAAGTCGCTTTGTGAAATCAATGTGGTGTTTTGTCGTCTACTAGAAGTTTCGCCGTTCGCTCCAAAAGCTGCCGCCTCAATGTGTGTGTGTGTTCTTTTCTCTCCACCAAATGACTAGCGTCAAGCATTCCCCAAGCAACAAAGGTGCAATTGAGATCACCAATAGTTGAAACAACAACTGAACACAATTGAATACAAAACTCTTAAAACCTCTGAAATTCTCGGACCTGACCCAGCCTCAAACAAATATCGTGAAAGAGTGGACACACTTGATTTGAACCAAAAAGATGCCTTGGCGGCACGCTGTCTTCACATGCCCGTCCAACTCTTGCCAACCTCTTTGCAAAGACTGTGGTGACAATTCACAAACACGCCGGACGGAGCTTCTAAGAAAACTCTGAGCGACAGCAGGAATAGGATCTTCATCGGACCCATCGGAGGTATTGATCCATTTTTATTTCGTTATCATGACATCACAAAAGTCATGGAGCATGAGCATCTCTTTATTTTCATCAAGCTGTGTTCATACCAGCATTAAAGTGCTAAGAAGTGGATGTAGCTGGCTATGATTCTCGAAGTGTTAACTCTGTTTGCTCAATGTTGGTAACTCCTGTGATCCATAGAAAGTGCTCGCAAGCACTGGATCTCCGCTGGCAACAAGAAACTTCTGCAGCAAACAGTTTGCATACTTAAGAGTTCATAGGTATATAATATATAGATTTGGACAAGCATGATGTTCTAATTTATATACTAAGTGAATGTCCGTAAGCATACAGCCCGACTTCATTTGACTTCCAAAGCCGATGAGTCGAGTCCAAGCATTTGACCTGGACGAAGAATCGCGACGACACGTGTCAGTAGGACTGGAAGTGCAGCTCTCCTTGTCCAAAGCTGCGAAGGCGCGCGCCACATGTCTCTTCATGGAGTGTGTCTTTCGGCCCGGACAAAGAACACGAGCAATCCGTGGTGTTGATGCTTTTTCTCGTGCTCCTGTTGGTTTCCATGCCAAACTGAGGAAGTGCCACATGGCTGTGGGCCACTCAAAACAAACCGGTGGTTTGGTAGATTGACACCCCAACCACCGAGGGCCATCGTGGCAGGTTACGTCCTTTTTTCTCCCAGGGGGTCGTTTAATGGGTCGTATGCTGGAATGGCTGAGTAGACCAGTGATGGCCCTTTACTACTGGTTGGTGGATAAATAGTATAGGGGATGCCCACAAAGTGTACAACCAATATGCAACGAAACTAACTCGACCCCTCTATTATTCCCAAACGGAAATCGTTGGAGTAGACAGTGAAGGATGAAACCTGACTAACCCAACAGCTTAAGACCTCGAAGGGGACTGCCCATTGGAGCTGCTGCAGCTAGGGCTCCATGCCAAGGCAGTGTTGGGGGCGAGTTATGGTGAGTTTTACATCCACCATTCTGCACCCACTCTACTCGTATTTGCGAACTAAGTCTTGAGGATCCTTGGAGCGTCGCATGGCTCAGGCCTTGGGTTGGCCCCAAGCACGTTTAGCCAAGCGACGTGACTTGCCCAAGCTCTTTGGCTTCGAGGCGGGTGGGACAGCTCCGTCGGACGATCATGGAAGAATGAAGCAGGGAAAAACATCAGTCACATGATAGCTGGGAAAAGCATCAGGAAATGTTTTCGCTGAGCTGATGTCATGTCTTGGTCTTTGGCTTTCCTTATCTTTTCTGCTTCGAAGACACTCGTCCCTTGTATGTCTTTTGTGGTCTCAACGTGGCCTCACGGCCAGACCGGACGCCCAGGCCGGTGGCATGAGCTGCTCAGTTCGTTCAAACGAGGATGGGGATGACAGGGCGTAGCCACTCGAGTAGCGACCGCGTCCGCTGATCCGGCACCCGACATGGGCCAAGTGGCCAGCCCCAAAGAGCCGACGATTGGCTGCGGCCAGCGAAAGCAACGAAGAGCCAGACAGACTGAACACACCGGAGGCTGCATTGTTTGCACTGTTCCAAGCTCAAAGACCGACACATAGTCATACAGTCATACAGTAGTTCTGGACATTTCTGGACACCTTTGTTTTGTTTGCCTAGTTCATGCGCATGTGGACTGGCTTACTTGCTATACAGAGCACCACCATGTAGCGAAAAGACGTAGCCTCCATCCTTCATGACCGAGCAGAGCATATACAGTATATTGTATCATATTGTCATACCGAGCAGGTGGTGAAAGCTGTCCTCAGAGTCCTGACACCTCAGAGTCCGAAATTGGACGGTGGCCGCGGCAAGTCGTCACCTCTAAGGTGCCGTCGGTCGTTGACGCCATGTCAGTGAGTCAACTCCGATCGAAAAAAAAATAACACGCGGAGCCTGTCGGCTCAAGACCTGTTTTACAGAGGGCTGCTAAGAACCCCCCAAGGCTGACTTCCTGGGATTTAGATGCAACTTGAGTGTTCTGTTCCACTCCTATGTTGAGGTTGCTTCTTATGCAAGCCTGCATCACGAAGTCACCCAAGCAACACAGGGATAGTAACTAGTAGACTAACTAGTAGCTCCACGGGCCAATCGAAGAGGAGAGTTGCAGGACCTTTGCATGGGTCCTGATTCCTGATGAGGAAATGGCCATCAGCACTGAGGTCCATTTGGTATTCGCACTCGCTGCCCGCTGCTTTTGGACGAGGCATTGACTACCGAGGACTCCTCCCGATGGTTTGCTGCAACACGTCACGTCCGAGAGCAAACAAGTCAAGTGCAATGGTCCGAGGCACCCCAACGCTTCTAATAGCTTCTTGTTGCTACTAGTAAGGCACCTGTTACTACTAGTGTGGCACTTGTTTCTAATAGCTTTGGTTCAATGCTTTGCTTAAAACACGGTGTGATTTGCAAACTTGCTGCGCAGGGTTCCGTGGCCAAACAAGTGCAACCTGTGAATCGATCCGAAAGTGCAAGTGACCTATTTGGCACATCTTATTACTAGGAACAAGATGAACAAGTGCATCGCTACTAGTAACAAGTGCCTTACTAGTAGTAACAAGAAGCTATTAGAAACAAACATTAAAAGTAATTAGAATTAAAAACTATTTGGCACATCTTATTGATACCACGCCTCAGGAGTTGCTCATTGGAGGCGGTTTACCTGGCCGAGACCTGTTGGTTCCACAGGCATCACTTTGAGTTACTGAACACCAGCCGAGGACGTAGTGTGAAGACAGAGACGTGACGTGGCATGGTGTTGTGCTCGTGAGACAGTTGTGCTCGTGAAATCCTTGGGATTCTGAAATGGTATTTGGAATCCCTTTATTTTTTCCGAAATAGTAGATCAGACATGCATGCCACTGCTTGAGGAGCTCAATTTATCGGCCATTTGACAATTACAAGGTTCAAAGTTCTCATCAGCCAGCGGGGAGTTGCTTAGGTTTCTTGCACGAAAAATGCCCAGAAGTCACTCATTTGTGGCATCACGGTCAATCTCTCTAGTAGATTCCAGTAGTATATCGATACACTGGAAGCCATTCCGCCATGCCAGCAAGGGCTGGTGGTGACCAGTTACAGGATGAAAGGACGTCACCATGTGCCTTCCCAGGCGCAAGAGTCAAGCACAGCATGTTGGTCAGCATTTTGTTTGCACTCATCAGGCAAGATCTCACAAGGAGCTGTGATAGCTGGGGTTTGACTGGCGCATTTCCGTATTGGGACGGTCATGTGGCCATGGCGGACCCGCGCGAGCATGGCGAGCTCCGTGCCGAGCGCGAGCGAGTAGATGCTGCCAGCGCTGATGCGGCGCAGCGGCTGCGCGAGAAGGTCATGTGTGGTTTGAGTTGCAAGGCACGTCCATGCGCACCTGCTGCTATCGTGCTGTGGAGCAAACTGCGAGTTTGGACTCTGTTGCTTGAGCGCTTAAACCATATCTCATAATATACAAAAAATAGGTGTTTCAGTGTTTCAATTGTTTAGGTGTTTTTGCATTTTGCATTAGTGGGTTCGGCAACAGTGTTCAGTTCTTCATGTGTTTTGTTCATGATTGGTGCGTGAAGTTCTCCTCAAAACGATCGTTTCACGAGTGGTATATATGGACATGAAGGGGTGTTCACCTGGTTCTTCAGAGTGCCTCCACCAATCTGGGGCTTCCAATGTCGGAAGAACCAGGAGCTCATGTATGTGTGAGAAGCCAGTTGAAGCCAATACGAATGCTGATACCTTGCCTGAGCCACCTCGAAGCCACTTTGCATGCGCGAGGAGGTCCTCACGAGGCTGTGAGTCAAGACCTGGAGCCCGGGACCGTAGCGAACGACCTCGGTAGGTCCAAGCTGGTCAAGCAAGGTATCCTTTTTGATATCATCGGTGAATCATGCTGAATCCACTTCCTGCTCTTGAGCCAACCGGACCACGTGCTGTGAGGAGGCAGAGTGGCTCCTGGATGGAAACTTCCGCTCGAATGACGAGGCGCGAACAATTCACAAAGAACAGGCACCCGTTGTGAAAGCTCCAACACCTGGACTGTCTTTATGAATGAGTTCTTAAAAACATCAAAAAACACTGCCTTCCGACTGGATCAATCCACCATCACTCATCCTCTAAAGCCCACACCACTCGCATCTGTCCAGTCCTCAGTCCCGGTGGCGCAGCCGGCCTTCTCGCGCAAAACGCGCGACCGGTCACGCCGTCTACGCTCCAGGTGGGCAGCTCCTTACGCTTGGCCTGGGACTGTGCTGTGCGCCTTGAGGCGCAGTTGGGCGAAGCAGATCGTCCTTGGGAAGAGCGCAATCGCTGGCTGCAGGAGAATTTAACGGGTGCCAAGCAGATGCAGATTCGCAAGGGTGGGGGTTGGGATATAGAGCATGAGTTGGAGCTGGGTTTTGGCTTTTGGGTTTCTTGATGTTTCTTGATGTGTCTTGTTTAGTAACATTTAGTACTGTAACTAGATTACTATATTCTCAGGCTATGGCAGGGGGAAAGAGCCTTGGTGTTTAAACCATGAGCATCCTCACGTACATATTGTATAGTCAGTGTTTTTGTCCTCAAAGACATGCATGTTTTTACACTTGACACCCCTCGAGGCTCTCCCAATCTGAAAGCATACCTCCTCGGTGCTTCCTGAGATCAGCGCCGGGGGGCTGATCGCTGATCCGACCTCATGGGCCTGTTTAGCGAACACAAGGCAGGGGAGACAGCTCCATGCTCCTCGAAGATCCAACTGATCATCGCATGCCCGGGTACCTTGAAACATCTTGACACTGCTTTCCCCTCTATAGAGCCACACAACTGTAGAGAAGCAAAGCGGTTGGAGCATAAATGAGCCAGGGCACCATGAAGGTCACATGACGCTTTGCCATCCTCATTGGGACCTGTCCATTCACCCTCCATGGCGTGCGCCTTCTCCGGGTCTCCGATCTGGTTCCCAGGACCTGGCGGCAGAGCGGAACCAGTTGGAGCAGCAGAAACAAGAGTTGGAAGCATTGTTGCTCACCTCCAAGCTACAGGTGCCACGTGGCACCTTTGTGCCAGTTGGACGGTAGGGGTTTAGATGCCATTTTTTCAGGCATTGGGTATACGGTGAACAGGTAGAGTATACGGAGCTAATCAGCTGCCTTTTGGTGCTGTGATTGTCAAGTTGTCACCTTGGAATCATTGGATAGAAGGGGTTGAAAGCCAGCTCCCTATCTCTATGCTCTACGACTCAGAATCATGGCCTCCTGGATGCTGAGTATAGTATAGATCGAAGATCTAGGATGGTTTCGAGCTTTGCACCACCAAACTTTGATTTCGTTTGATTTCCCTTGATTCTTGGAACATCTTGGAACATGTTCCCTCCCAAAATGGACGTTCTGGCCTTGAATGGACGACTTTCTTCGGGTTTCCTCTAGAAACAGAACGCTTTCATGGGCGAACTCTACTTCCATGTTCACCCAAGCCCATGCCGGGGATGCCCTGGGCGCTCCGACCACAAAGCGAGTGCACTTCCGAGGTGCAAACGGCATGTGCCACTGCTTCGGGGTTTCAGGCCTCCCGCTTAGCCGAGGCCGGTCACCGTCGAGTTGATGGGCTGAATAACGGAGCAATCAATGGAAAAGCTACACTGTCTTGTGTTTTAGGTTTTGTTGACAATTCCAATTTTGTTTGTGTGTGTTTGTGAACATTTTGACCGCTGGAGTTTGCGTCTTCGAGAGGACACATTGTTAACTGAACGCATACTTCAGCTTGATGGCCAGTCTAGCTAGCTGCTCGGATCGCACTCAACCTGTCGAGGTTCTGGAAGCGAACGTGGCCTTTCGCCAGCGCTGCGAGCACCTGGGGACCGTCCTGTTCGGGGGGGGATGCTCGGTCCCAGGCGACGAGGTGACCGAGAAGCACACCACCGTTTGCGGTCGCGGTGGTGTTTTCGACCCTGAAACGAAGAAATTGGAGAATCCATTGCTTCCTGTGGATAGCGCAGAAAACCGGAGGGATTAAAGAAACAGGGTGTACAGATGGCTCGGCTCGTTTCCACAAGTGTTTGGACAAGACCATTCAGAGCCGCGGCCACGAGAGCGGGGCACGTTCGTTTGTAAGTCACATCCATCAACCTCAACGAACCTTCCTGTGGGAAGCATGAGCCCTAAGCGTCGCCACAGGAGCCAGCTAGAGGCGGTGGTGCATACTGCTCGCCGCAGCCTGCGATTGCAGCACAGCCGATCTATGAACCCAAAGACGGCCAGACCCAGAAGCATCGAAGACCATTTGGAGACCTGGTTCTTCGGTCAGTGCCCTTTGAAGAGGGTGCTCAAGTGACCTAGGCCCCAGGAACCATGTTCATGTTTCATCAGTTTCATCCATCATGTAAGGAGACAGGAGACAAGGCAGCGGTGCAGCGGCAAACCAAAACGGCCATCGGTGATGTTCCACCCCGCCGCTCCACGCTGAGGTTGGGCGAGCGGCCCGACGTGCGCCCCGAATCCGAGGCGGGGACCTGGACTGGAGCCGCCTGGTGACCCCTCCCCCCAGCACGTCACGGCATGGCCCTGAAGGGCATCCAAGATATGCCAAAGTTTACCCTGTGGCTTTGCCGTGTTTTCCACTGAACCAAACATCATGTCATATGTTGCATCATATGTGACACGAGTTTGGTTCAAGGGCAAATGTTCGAAGATATAAGATTGCAAAACTGTACAAAACTACTGTTTGCTGAGTAGATCATGCTGAGTCTTGTGTGTTTTGTTTCCTTTTGCTGGTCCCTTACATCCTTAGATGGCTCCGTGTTGCAGCAAGGCGTTTGGATGACATTGAGTGGCACTGGCACTACTGGGCAAGTGGGAAGGGCCAAGCGGTTGACCCTCAATGGTGTGTTTCTCCCTCGCCCAAGGTTGCTCCTGGCATCCATACGGTGCCCAGAATGTGTCCCCATGATTGGTGAGAATTGCATATCATAGTATCACCTCACGACTCGCTAACCTCGACTCATTCTTTAAGCCCACTGCGGTTTCCACACCCCAAACTCCCCAAAAACACAAAAAAATGAATGCCTTCACCAGGGCCGATCGAGGCTTCTCTTCGTTAAACCGTTCGGCCTCGAGGCCGCCGGGATGGCGCGGCGCTGGCGCTTGGAGTTCGATGCGGCCAGTGACGTCGCAGAGGCCATGTTGAGATCCCTGAGGCCGGCAGGGAGGAACGGGCGCAGGAACAGACGCCGTCACGCAGAATCAGAAACCAACTTGGGATATTTGGGGATCGCAGGTGTTTTCCTCTAATCCCGCGACAGCACTCCAATGACCAAGCTGGAGAATGCTGGATACGGAAGCTGGATACGACACCTGTCACAAAAAGAAAGGTCCCAACAAGAATCAAAAGGATCCCACAAGTCCAATCTGCCTCACCAAAACTCCATACACACAGGCAATGTTGATCATTCAGATCATCTCACGTAGATCCCCAGCGATGGTGTTCTGCACACTGCGGATCTTCTTCGATTCGTTCGACCTGTCCGTAGGCATCCGGAAGCCCCGGCGGGCGTGGCATCGAGCTCATTGGAGCGATGGGGCTCCGGGCCGATAAGGGCGGAACCGGTCTCTCCTCGTCAGATCTCAGGGCGAAAACTCCACGTGTTTGCGGTGAGTGAGAAACAGGCAAAACTGTTCATGTAAGAGTAAGAGTTTACTCTTGGAGGGGTCTTTCCATGATGTAGGTTCGCTCATATGTTGTAAAGGTGTTGCTTGAGTCTACTTGAAGTCTACGAACTTGCTGCGTGGATTTGCCATGATTTGTGGAGATCATTCGAGATTTTTTCTAGGTGCGTTCAAAGCAGAAGGCCCCTTCCACCATGGTAGACGATGATGCGAACGATTAACATTCCCAGGCGTGGATGACATTTGTCAGAAGGTAGGGTCCACGGCCGATCTCATCTAATCAGAGGCCTACTTGGCTCGGTTCTTTTGCTTCCTGTTTGGCATGACACAAAACCCTGAACTTGAACTTGTGTGCGGTTGCCAACTTGCTTGGGTTTTCTTGGTAAGCCTCAGAACAAAAGGAGGATACTGTATTGAACTTGAAAACTGCAGCATTCTTGACATGCTCCTTGTGATTTGCCAGAGTTTAAGCCGAAACGTTCCATAGCACATCCACCGCACAATTTCCAAATGAGCCCCCAGTCTCAGTGCGATCGCGGTGGAATCTCCTGCGCATGTGCTGCGAGGAGCACGCCTTGGATCATACCTGGCGGTTTCTCCTGGAACTGATTGGCCTTTTCGAACGCGTGGAGGACTCCTTGACGTCCGATCAACAGACGGAGGCAGCGTCTTGGTTTTGTGAAGAAGGCAAGGGAGGGGAGTTTGTTCCAATGTTTCTGACTCATTAGGTTTTTGGAAGTGTCAAACAGGTGTTTGGACATGTTTGGATCAAAAAGCCACCCCGCGCCCAAAAGGGCGGCAGGTGAACTTTCACACATGCAGAATTGTGTTTCTGTATGTTTCTGTGGTATAAGTTGTTGATTGCAGTCCAACAGTTGTGAATCGACAGATCCTTGTTGCGTATGTTGCACGGTGTGGGACAAGTAGCCCATTGGCCAATCCCGCAATCCGAGGAGCATGAAATGACAGACAGTTTGCAAAGGCTCTGCAGCAAACTCAAAAGCTCAAAGGGATAATCTATAGATATCTATAGCTATATATTTGTCAGCTGTATTTTGGTGGCAAATACATTTGCCCAATCTTCCTAGAAAAGTCATGGAAAAGTCACGATCACTTGAGATGAACTTTCACCCGCCCTTAGTACTGCAGCGATTTGGTGCAT